GCTGGGTACATTTATTGTAAGGGGCAGGAATTTAACTAGAACTGAAGTTTCTTTGCCATTTAGTTCCCCAGAAGTTTGGCTGGCCGCCTCTCTTATGTTTTGCCTGATGAGAAAATCTTTTTCTTATCAAGTATAGATGCCTTGCTCTAGTGTGCAATTTGTTTTAACTTGTGAATTGAGTATCTTACTGACAAATGGAAGATTGGCATTATGGCTTCCCTTTGCAAAAGGAAGGGCAATCAGAATGCATGCAAAATCTGCAGGTGGATTTGTCTGTTAAGTGTGGCTTGGAAAGCTTTGGTAGAATTCTGACTGAAAAGAGTGTAAAAAAAGAACTAACAAGTAAAATTTGAGAAGCGTAATATGGCTTTATGCCATGCAGGGCTGCTGAACAGATTTTTGCTCTTCAGCAGGTCCTTGAGATATTTTATTTAACATTTGCTGGTTTAGAGAAATCATAAGATAATGAACTTGAATATTTTGTGGAGTTGGAAGTTGGTTAACTGAATGAGATAAGAGTAGCATACAATAAAAGGAAAATGAGAAAAAATAAATGGAATACTTAGTGAATATTTCCATACTAAGCAGTGAATAAGATAAGGATGTGAGATGTTTCCTTAATTATTTCATGTATTTCTAGACACACATATAAGAAATGCATTAAAGGTGTGCTAGTTAGAGATGTGAATATACCTGCACTTTTGTCTACATGATGTACTACTGTTGATTGAGAACTGAAATGACTTCCTAGAATGCTAAATGGACCATAAGATGTAGTGCTGGACATGAATCTTAAAATTAATGTATCAAAGTCCAAGGTAGTTGACAGAATGAATGAATGAATGAACAATCACAAGTTATACATAAATGTCAAAACGCTAGAACCAGTAGATATATTTGTATATGATGACAGGAAATTTCCAAAGATGGGAAAATGGGTGAAGAATATTTAAGATTGGTTAAATGCTGGTAAACATAAAATGTGTTTATTTCTGTCTAATGTGTTTATTATGATGATTTATCACTTGATGCTTGTAACTTATGATTAATGATTTTGTAGCTATGATTTATAATATATGACCTATCATTTGTTATTGGTATGTACACTGAAACATGCACTGGAGACAAATTCCTTGTGTGGCCAATCACACTTGGCTAATAAAGAATATCCTGTCATGTCCTGACCTGTCCTGTCCTGTCCTGTCCTGAGCTGTCCTATCCTATCCTATCCTATCCTATCCTATCCTATCCTATCCTATCCTATCCTATAGAACTGAATCTTGGATGTATCAGGAGAAACATAGAAAGTTAGTTGACTGCCCTAGAAATGGAGCTCTTAAAAGTTCTTAATATAAGAACAAAAATGAGTAAGTGCTGAATGAATGTAGATGAAATGAGGTGATTTGATCATACAATGAGAATAAGGATCAATTCACAAAACAGAAATAAGAAGCTAGAATAAATGGGACTAGATGCAGGGAAAGAGGTCGATCCATTCTTCAGAACAGAGAAAAACAAGAACAAAAAGACAATTTATGTAGCAGTGTTATGAGTCACCTTGTGGTGAGATGGGCAGCAAATAAATTTAATAAATAATAATAATAATAATTAGATAAAAATGATGGAAGTAAAGATTGGAAAGGCAGACAAGCAGAGAGAGCTATATAGTGAAGGTATTTTGGTACAAATTAGTTCTAGGCATGTTTCTTTCTACTTTTCTTATTTCTGGCCTTTAATTTCTTTGGTTTCTTTGCTTTATTTTCCACTTTGCTTAACCTCACTTATTCCAGAATGGAATAGCATGATGGATCTGTGGGCATGTAATATTGTTATTGCCATTGTATTTTACAGTTAATTTTCACGGTTGCTAACTTCTGTGACTCCTACACCCAACTGAAAGATAAGATTTTTCTCTACTGTTATTGACCAGTAAATAATATTTTGTTCAAAATGGCTGCAGGGTATGCGTACAAAACAGTTTCCCATCTGGTGGCAGCAGGTAAGTTTTGCTACATAAATCACATTTCCAAAGCATTTCACGTATGATATCCATAATCCCAACAACTTTTTTGAGTTGGCAGCTGTTATATCTTCTTGTTTCCCTAAGGGCATGTGCAGAAAAGGAGGAGGAGGAGGAGGAGGAGATATTGGGAAGTTCCAGTTCAGTTCTTAACTACTCCATTACAGTTTCTTCTTCTTATTTTCTTTTTTTTTTTCCTGGCAGAACTCCAGCATTACCACAGATCTGTGTGGAATGAAAGAGGGGGAAGACAATTTTCCATGCCCGGAGATTCAAGCAAGGCACGGCGGGTTGTTTTTTTTTTTAAAAAAAGTTGAAAGCAAAGAAGCCTTTCCTATTTTGTTTTGCCTCCCCTCAAGACAGCTCCTTTTAAAACAGGTTTTTTTTTACCCCCTGTCCTTTGGATTTTCTTACAAGCTTCTTTTTTAAAAAGACGAAAACGTCTTTTTTTGCTGCAGTTGACGGCGGGTGCACCGCTGGTCTTCATCCTTTGAAAAGCAGTTTTAAAGGGAAGCGCAAGGGAAGGCTCCGCTCCTTCCTAATCGGAGATTCCAGTTCGGATTTTGTGAGTAGCTCGCGGAAAGCTGAGCTCCTTTGGATCGGGAGCAGAATTGCTTTCTGTTCACGGTGCCTATAGATAGGCGATCCCAGGCAGCATTTTTGAGGCTGGGGCGGCGGGGAAAAAAAGAGTACAAACTTCTGCATTTCCCCATTATTTACTCATGGCTTTCCCTTCGTCCCGCTTGGGCGCCCTTTAGGCAGCAGAATAGATCGCTCCGTTATGTCGTCCGCTCGAGGAGTTTCAGGAGGGAATCCCCGGGAGTTTGCAAGCCTCTTGGAACTTCTCATCTCAGGATCGGGGCGCCCGTTTTGCGCCTCTGTGGCGCAGCCGATCGCCTTGCGGGTGAATCCCCGTCTGTGAAAGCGGGATAATCGGGAAGGCTTTCGAGCTCGGTTCTGCTTGATATACACTCTGCGCAGATTTTAAGCAAATCCCCCTATGCGCCCCTTCTGAATCGCCCACCGTGGCGAACCAGTTGAGCCGCGATCCTGGAATGTTACTCTTTGCTTGGGGCTGAGTTGGGAGAGACGCACCGATCGAAAATCTTGGAGGCGTCTAAATATCCAGGTTTTCTAAAAAATAAATGAATCTAGCTGGACTGCCTCTCTTTTGCCAGAAAGTGGCGTGAAATAAAAAATAAGGGATTCCTCCACCAAGGGAATCTAGTGGGTGGGCGGAGAAATAAGCAACTTTTATGCTTAACCGGGTAGGATATAAAGCTCGTCATCTTCCCTATTATGTGTTGGAATAAGCATGCAGTGGTATCAATGGGCTAAGGAACTCAATTTTCCTTTCCCCTGTGACGTTGTTGTTATCGCCAGGTGTTTTTGTTGATAATGGTATGGAAGTGGTCTAGCATTGAATAGAATTTTTTATTGGCCAAGTGTGATTGGACACACAAGGAATTTGTCTTGGTGCATATGCTCTCAGTGTACCTAAAAGAAAAGATACGTTCATCAAGAATCATAAGGTACAACACTTAAGGATAGTCATAGGGTACAATTGTCTTCTTATGAGGCATTTTACAAATTTTCTTGTGTCGGACTCTAGGGGGCGGTGCTCATCTCTGTTTGTTAGCAGAGGGAGCCAGAAAAAAACCCCTGAGATTTCGTGGTGGTCTCTCATCCAGGAACTAACCAAGTTGGACCTTGCTTTGCTTTTCGAAACCAGCTAAGGACTTAAATCGGTAACGACAACTACATTTAAATCCCTGCTGAGAAATTTCTGGCCTGTCGCTTTTTCTCAGCCAAATAGTTTTTGCAATGTAACATTGGGAGAGAATGATAGGCCAACCAATATCCCGAGGGAAAAATGAAGATAGATGATAGACAGACAGACAGACAGACAGACAGACACACTCACACACATTCTCTAAATAAATTGGAAAGGCAAAGTATTGTGAGATAATGTTATGGATCCCCGGGTGTTGGGGATTCCTTCCAATAAATACTACTAATAAGTATATTGCCCTGTTCAAGGTGTTTCTGTAGGGGACTAAATCCTGTTTTGCTTTAGGTCCAATCCAAACATAAGTAGAAATAACTATAACTAATACTGCTATTAATACTATTTCTTTACATTTGGTGCTTTTAGTAGATGTATGAAGAGTAATCGATATACTGAGTGGCATGAAATGGCTTCCCCTTTCCCCTTTCTTTAATTTCTACCTCATGTAACTCCCAGTTGGCTGAATTCTGGAAAGAGATACACCCCATGGGGCTCCTTTATCAGTGAATGTCTCTGAGAATTCGAAGGAGCAGCATATTCTGGTTTTATGGATTACTGGTACAGTCCCCAACAGTTCTAAACAAAAGCAAGCTAACTTCCCTGGAAACTCTATATGATTAAAGCAATTGTAAATATTATGCATGTTCTCCCAAGCATGGTGCCTACAGTATTTTACTCCTATGTACCCTGCAAAAAGAACAAAATTATCTATAAAATGACTATATACCTTACAGCTAGAAAGTTCTATGCTGTAAAAACAATTTTACATGTTAGGTAGGAACAGAAATGTAGGCAGTAGCCTTCTTTATTGATGTACGTGACAATCTAAATATTAGACGGATTGTGTAACTGTTGTAAATGCACTTCACCTGCTTTTAGTGAAACAACAGATGGTGTATTAACTTTTTCCACTTTACTGGTTCTTATTGCAGGGAGAAATGTTGCAACTCTTAATTCTGTATTAATAATTATCATCACACATCCACTTTGCTTTTGAGCATACATGGAAAGTTTAGAAAAGGCATAAAAACTCTTTACTCTCTTTAATTTCTCTTTCTATAGCTGAACTGCGATAGGTAGTTTTTTGTTGGAGTTATAAACTCACACAAACCATTTCCCCTTCCGTGATAACACGTGTGAAAGATTAGGCTGCACAAACCATAAATCATACATAGAAGCACACTCCTCAAATTCAAATTTCTTAATAGTTTAGTAGGTCATCTTATTTACATTAAGTGATAATGATGGAGATTATAGGTTTGCCATAGAGAGAAAGTGAACCATGCTAATTACAAAATTATGTAATTGATTATAAAACGTTGCATTTAAAACACAATAAAAAGGCAACAAAATATGTATCAAATATACACAAGGGGGCAAATTCTTTAATGACCAAAGCCACCAATTTCTTTGTTCTTTCCTTCCTATGCATTAGTACTCCTATTGGCCACCACCATTTGTTTCAATTATTTCATATTGATCAATTTCAGCTTCCTTTGGAGCTTTGGAGTTTGTCCTCTCTACCAGGATAAAACAGGACCTTCTGAACTCACTTCTTTCACTAGAATATGTTCAAGTGTGGATAACACACAAACTAGGTAACAAACTAGGTACCTAGCTTGGGTAAAGAAATGTCTGCAAGAAAACAACCAAGTTCAGGGAGCATCAAGGATCCCTCAAAATGTTTATAATTTGTCCTTTTATATTATTTATTTAAATCCTGCCCTTATTGTTTTTACAAGGTGGTGAACCTATCCATCTCACCTTCCTCCTATCTTCCCCACAACAGCAATCTGTGAGATGAATTGGGCTGAGAAAAAGACTGGCCCAAAGTCACTCAGCTGGCTTTCATGGGAAAGGTTGGACTTGGATTCACGGTCTTCCGTTTTCTAGCCTGGTGCTTGACCACTAAGCCAAATTGCCTCTTTATGGTACCAATAATTGGCTGCTGTGCTCAAAACATGGTGGAATGAGAGATGGGAGTCAACTTGTTCCTGGTTCACGATTTTGGAAGTCAGTTTTCCAAATTTCCTGGTATGAATGCTGCATTCATCCTCTGTTAGCATAGGATCTAGGATCTTAGGGTTCTCTTGGGAAGGAATCTGAAATGAGAAGGGGAATGTAAGATAAGAAGCTGCAGATAAAAGAGGAAATCTAGGAGCACAAAATAATGTTTCTGGAGCTGTAATAGAGCCCAACTAATTCTTCACGGCAAATTTCCTATTCAATACTTGGTTCTAGGAATATTCATTATCTTAGCATGGCCTGGGAGCTTTCCAAAATTGTCACAGTATGCATTCCAAATCAAGTCCAACCATGTCTAAGTCTTCTTTTAATTGGTTAAATGCATAAAAGCATAATGTCTACCACACCTAATAATGAGTAATCCATTAGGGCACAGCACAGCGAAGCACATAACATTTTCATACTAATTGTTCGCATGTATCTTAAGTTGAGTCTCCCTTAGTTTACTATGCAGCAAACAAATAAGCCATTAACACAATTAACAGATGTTGAGTTACAGAGTTAATTTTGTTTTTTTAATTAGTTGGCCAGAAAGCAATCCCAGGAATTGTGACTAGGTATTTTAGCAAAATAGCAGTATATATGGAACAAGGCAAGAAATAAATGCTTTGTTTCCCTAACTTAGTAAGCAAAACCTATTGCTTTTTCAAGCAGACTTCTTAGAAAATGCATGCATTTGATTTATTATTTCAATTTGTATATTTTTCACCCTTAGTGTGCTCAAGGAAGAAGAAATGGGAACCAGTATACTTTGGTGAAATCTATCTTCTCACACTTAGAAAATGGGCATTTGTCTTTTATTTTTTCTTCTTTTGGGTATGCCCAAGGATGCAAAATGGTGTAATGTTTTTCTTTTGGTTAATGCAACCAAAAGTTGGTTCGGCCCAGACTGCATCTTTTGAGATGTGCCTTCCATCCTTATGTGTGTTACCTGTGCCTTCCATCCTTATGCTGACCAGATATTTTGAGATTTCTGGAAGTTACAGTACCTAGTTAATCTAGGCTGATCTTGAAAAGTTGAGCAGAGTCACACCTGATTAGGACCTGGAGAAGACACCATGAAGTAATCCTAGACTAGACTGGGAGATTAACAAAACATCCTAGAAGAAATAGGAAACTACTGTACTTCCATTTTGTCACCAGAAATTTACTAGAATATGTTTATAAAATCAGTAGAAGGACTCAGAAGCAGAAAGGAAATTTTATTTATTTTTAGCCCTAACACTTTTGGGAGGCACCAGGTTACACAACTGATCTACATGTTCACATTTGTCAGAGTGCATTGTTCCAGTGTGTAAACCATGGTTTATTTTGCTAGTTTGTAAAACCACAGAAGCAAGCTTCAAAGAATACCAAGTCATGAACTCTGCTTTATAAGCTAACAAAGACTGGATTCCTATATTATCCTAAGCCAAAACCAAACAACACACACTAGCTGTATTCATATGAACCCATGGATAACTTAATGATTATCATGTTAAACTAAAATGCACTTGGCTAGGTTGTAGTTCAGTGTCCAATCACAACCATTTGATGCAATGTGTAAGCTCAGCCAGTAAATTTTGTCTTGTTCTTAAGTGAGCTTATGGGTCTTATAGAAATGTTCCTGTACTCTACTTCCTTGAAAACAATTCATTCCCCAAAACAGATACAGTATAGAGTCAGAGCAGTGAGAGTATTGTGCGCACAGAGATGGAATCTGAGATGGAAAGATTCGAATCTACCCACTATGGAAGAATGATTAATGAAGTTCAGACTTCAGTTGAAATGAATAAATTAACTATTTTGATTAGAGAAGACATCATCTACATGTTTTTGCTTACTGGACTTCTCTTATGGATGCTTTGTGTAAAAATGAAAAAAACTGAACTTGTGACTTATGGTTCTAATGATTAGACAGTAACCATAGTAAAGAAGAGTAATGGTCTAACTTTAGAGATATGGGTAAAATATATCTGTATTTATAACCACTATGAAGAATATCAAAACCACTTGTTTATATGCTTCTTCTTTCTATTTTTATTAACTTGGGGGGGGTTGCACTTTTTTCTTTTTCTTTGATTTCTTTCTCTTTTCCTTTGCATTCCTTTGCCTATTCCTTTGTATTAGCTTTTACCTTTATGTTTTAATTTTTTTAATAAAAATGTATTTGGGAAAAGAAACCCGATGGTTCACAGGGGTTTGAATTAAAAAAAAATCAGAAAGCAAATAGTGAAGAACTCTTGTATTGCTGCAAATAAAACTGAATTATCAGGAGTGGGGAGGAAGTCTTTCTCTTTAGTAACCACTTATCCCCCTTAGAAGGGAAACTATTGTTTAGAGAATCTCAAATTGATTGCCAGAATAGTTAGAAACTACTAACTATTAGTAGTAGTAGTAGGAACTACAAACACTCTTACTGTGGATATGTTGTGATGCTCTGCCTTCAGTTCTTGTCTACAATCAGCTACTCCAGAAGACAAGCCCTGCATCCCTTATAGCTGGCGAAAGTGCCTTTATTCAACCTAAAAAGACACTGGTAGGTAGTATTTTACTAAACTATTGGCAGATATGGATAGTGCTCTTCCATAATCCTAGTAGTTGATCCTCACCGCTCAATCCTAAACAAGGTTACTCAGAAATCCCAAAGATGCTTTTTGCATGAGGCAACTGGACTTTCTGGGTTTTTTTTTTTTTTTTTGAAAACGTTTTGCTTGTCATCCAAGAAGCTTCTTCAGCTCTGAGCTGAAGAAGAAGAGCGGAAGAAGCTTAATGGGTGAGTAGCGAAACGTCTTTAAAGAAAAAAACAAAGTCCAGTTGCCTCTTGAAAAAAAGCACCTTTGGGACAACCTGGATGACTGAAGAATCTCCATATAGGCAGTTACTCAGAAATGAATCTATCCTATGGGACTTACGCTGCAATAAGACGCCTGGCAGCAGCCTCACATCCACCTACTCCTTATTCATTCATTTCATCCCGTTGCTTTTACTCAGTCCGCGCAGCAATTTTTTCTCTCCCCGCACCCCCACACAACCTACTTTCGCGGAAAGCCATCTTCGTGACCGTCCTTTTCACAAAATATATTGTAGGAAAGAGTAGTCTTGCTTCTCTTCTCCTGCCTCGCGGATACGCGGAAGGTCCTCGTAGCGTTTAGGATTGCGAATCCACTCCGGGCAATTCGCCGCCCGCCTATCCTCCACACACACACCCTTGAAGTGCGCAGGCGGGCACGAGCAAGGGAGGAGCCACTCTCGTCCGAAAGTCCAGCTCCGGGTTTTGCAGCAGTTTCCAGGGGGAAGCCGAGCGCTTATTTGCTTTACTACCGCGAGGTGCCTCAGCCGGGGCTTCGCTCCGCAGCTCGTGGCCAATATTCGGGAGGGAGGGAGGGAGGGAGGGAGGAGGAAAGGCAGAGGGAGAGTACGGCGCGCCGGCTCGCTCCGCTTTCACGCCGGCGTCGCGGCGCGAAGGGGAGTGTGCTTCTGTCGGGTCGCCGCGCCTCCAGAGGGAGTTGGGAAGGATGCTGCGGGGAAGTCGGTGCAGCTTCCCCTCCTACTCCGGGGCTCGGCATCCGGCGGCTCCTTCAGACTTCTTAGCCAAGACTATGAAATGACCATTCCTGGTCGCCTCGGAGTCGCCGTCGCCTGGACGCCTTTCCCACCGCGCGCAATTCGGGCTAAGGAGCGCGCTACCCCACCTTAGGTGGAGCCCCCAGCTGCGTTTACCGGCCAAGCCAGGGCGGCTAAAGAAGAAGCAGCAGCAGCGGCGCCAAAAGCAGAAGAACCAGCATTAAGCGACGGTCGGACAGAGGGAACTCTCCTACGCTTTGGTCTCCAAGCGGGGCTCGAACTGCTGTGCCCGCAAGCGGGGGGGTCGGGCGAGGAGAAGCCCCTCTCTGCCAAACGGGACAAGAGCCCCCCCCCCACTCCACCCGAGCGGGCAGGCGGGCGAGGGTCCGCCGCGACTGCTCCCTCCCCGTCGGAAAGTCGAGAGCCGGGCCGGCGGGAGGGCGAGAGCTCGCGGAGGAACCGCCGCTGCTGCCGCTACCGCGGCCAAGGAGGTGGAAGACGGCGGCAAGGGGCGCGAGCCGGACTCGGGCTTGGAGGGCTCTTGGGCTTCGAGTCTTTTTCTCCCCGAAGCAGTCATGGGCAAAGGGCTGGAAGCCGCCGCCGCCCGCTACGGACTGGGACTGGGATACTTACTGCAGATGGTCGTATTGCCCGCCTTGGCTATCCTGAGTGCCAGCAGCCCCGGCTCGGCTGCGCAAGGTAAGGCTGCTTTTTCATTTCGCCGGTGAACCTGGACGGCCGTTTTCCTCAAAGGTTGGACGGAGCGGACGCCTCTTTGCCTCGCCGCCTCCCCGACAGCCGGCCAAACCTAGGCAAAAAGCCAACCCTCGCCGCTTCTCTCGCCTCCGCGGGTTCAGGCGGACGCTCGGGGAGGGAGGAGGCGAGGGGAAAAAGCCCGAGCGCACGGAGGAGGAGGAGGAGGAGGAGAAGAAGCGGCTCCCAGCCACTTTTCCTTTTGCCCGCAGCCGCAGCCTGTCGCGGTGGAAAGAAAGTCCCCCACCGACTTTTAGCCGGGTTCAGCGGGGAGCTCCAAACTCTTCCCCCCCCCCGAAGAGACTTGGGGATCGGCGTGTTAAGGGTGGGCGGGAAGGCGTTTTGCATCGCTCTCCGCTGTCCCCCCTAAAAGCGCTGCGAAATCCAAGCGGAGAGCGATGCAAAATTGCAGTTTGCAGGCGCCGGAGGAGGAGAAGCCCGAAGCTCCGTGTTTCTTGGCTCCGCTACTCTGGATTGCCAGGATTATGCGGGAATAGGAGGAACTCCCTTGGAGAAAGCGGGGTCCCGCCGTCCCGTGGCCAGCCTCCTTCGGGAGCAGACACCTCTTCTTGTTGCTGAGTCAGGCGGGGGTAAAAAAAAAAAAGCGAAGTGGCTGGTTTAAAGATTTGCACCTAGGCGGACAAGCGGGGCGCGGTAGTTTAGGACAACCGGGTAGGTTCGGCTGGGTCCTTAGTTGGCAAAAAGGTGGAAAAGAAATAATGAATACCCCCCTCCTGCTTTGCAGACAGAGCTAAGACACTTCTCCATCTTTCAGCCGGCTCCTTTAGATTTATTTTGGGCATTATTTAATCAGTGGCACCAGTCTGAATCCTTTCAACTATACATATCTATCTTCAGGTATTTTCCTCCTTCCACAGTAAAAATTAAACAGCCTCCTATTTTCCTCTTCCGCTCTTCACTAGTTTGATCATCACGCCCATGTATATTCCCTTCCCACTCACTTAGTGGCATGCTTGTCCTCAATAGAGGTTCTTCCTTCTCCAAATGGTTGTTGCCTTGAGAAGTGGCAGGTTTAGTGTGGCGAATGCCATTAAAGTGTTGATCGGCTTTCTTGCTTTCTGCTTGTTCTCATGTTGGGTGGTTGAAGAAGGCTGGCCCTTTGACTATTCCTCTAGAAGTTGATTTTCACTGGGGAAGACTTCGGAGGCAAGGGAATATTTTAGCATATCAGAGGTCATTCTTAGAGAGGACCCAGAGGTGACAGGTTTTGGCAATCATGAAGGATAACAGAACAGGAAAGAAAAAGAATTAGCACCATGATGCTAATGGACTACAATCTAAAAAAATAAGAATGCCATGGGTACGTACGCCTGTGGAAATAAACACATTGAACACTAGTTTTCTGTCAGGGTTGCTGATCATATCAATGGGGCTTGTGTAGGAGAACTTCTCAACAAACAGTGTTTTATATTCAGGAGTTGAATAAGATGCCATTTGGATTTTTTGCTTTCAGATATTTCAGAGTGGTGCAGGAATAGGTCCTTCCTTGGCTTGAACTCATTGCTTTCACATCTTTTGTCAAATACTTCTTCATACTAAGTTATGATAACACAGGGCTTATTCCTGATTGTTAATTTGTACTAAAATACTGGAAAGTTAGAGAGGGCTCTTTCGGACATCCGTGGCCTCTGTTTTAAGCATAGCAGAGGCACCAGATTACTGTACCACTTGGTGTCTCTGTCTTCTTATTGCCATAGAAATAACCTTTTACAAAGTTTCCTCAGGCTGTAATTCTTTGCCCACTTTTTTGGAAATTAAACTTAAAAATGGAACTTGTGACATGTATGGAATTAGCTTTCAACTATTTGTTATAATTGATAATTTTTTTAAAACCATACTTTTCAAATCCAATCAGTAACTTCTTTCAGAACATAAATCAAAACTGTTTCCTTGAGAATTGCTACTACCATTGGATACTAGCAGAAAAGATGACTATTAAGCTTGAGAAAGTCTGGTTTTTGTGATTTTGGACTCGCTTTTGAAATATGAAAAAAAAAGGGCTTTCTTCATACATGGGAAACAGACAAGAGTTCACCCAGTTCGTATCCAAAGTCTGTTAGTCTGATGAATTCCTTGTCTTCAGCTCACAATTTGAAAGTAAACAAAAGGGTTAATGGGAGAACAAAGCATGCTCACTTAAGACAGCCAAATGAGAAGACAATCTGATTAGTAGTGGAAAGTGAGGAGATAGGGGAGAGGCAATATAAGTGGGACAATTACTTGGATGGCTAATGCTTCTTTGTGTATTAGACATCTCAAGGAGCTGTGATGCCTGAAAGTTGATTATTGTTCTTCTGCATGCTTTGCTCAACAGGAATAGAGGTTTCCTGAGCCTGCTTCTTTCTGCACTTCCCACCTCTTAGAGCTCACCTAAAATACAGTTTTCCAAAAAGAATGAAGCTTGTATACAGGATTCATTATCTAACCAACATAGTAGACCAAAACCAAAACCAAACCAGAATTATGTCTGCAGTCCTCTACTTTTTGTTTAATGATTTGATATATTCTGACTCCTAGAGTTGCATGTAATAAACACATTTCTAGATTATGTTTTGCTTTATTTGCTATATTACAGAGCATTTGATTTGCAGGATTCTTCCTGCAGTTGTCATCTTGAACTTCCTTGCCACATATCAGCAGCTGAATAATAGGGTTTGAAAAGAAATGCCATCCTTGTGTTGATCTATATACTGTGTACAGAAAAGATGAACATTTTCATCAGACTGAGTAACCCATTTTCATTGTTACCATGGGGAAGGAAAGAGAGAGCAGAAATACATATTTATTGCAACCACAGTTGAGAAACATTCTAGGGGAAAGAGACTTGTGTGTGACAAAGTTGTTGGACATTTTCCAGAGCTTTTGTTCTCAGTCTAAGCAAAGTATAGGAGAAAGCCACAGCAAGCATAAGGAGTCTTAGTGTGCATGTGTTTCATTTTTGGGGACTCACAGCACCTGAAAATGTCTTTCCTTTCTCTCCTCACAATTTTAAATTGGCCTATAAGGGCAAACAATATAGATAGGATTGGTTTAGACTCTCCGATTTTTTAGTGTGGTATCAAAGAATGGTTGCATATCTTGAGGGACTACCAGGAGTTGAATTGAATGAACAAAATTTCCAACATAGGAATATCCCCTTAAAGCTACAAAGAAGTAATTGATTGTTTTGTTTCTTGTTCTTTGAATCAGATGTGAGTAATATAGTGTTCATGTGGGTGATTATAGCACTTGACGTCCTTTGTAGATGAAGTTGAAATCCTAGTGATGTCTACATTAAGCATATATGAAGAGATTCTGTGTACGCGTATGCAAAAACAAACAAATAAAATGGCGGCCAATTTGAAGTTCTAAAATTTAGAACTTCTAAAAGTTCTAAATTTGAAACTAAGACCTTGTCATTACAAGTGCTGATAGTATGTTTCATGATAGTTTGTGTAATCCTGAATAAACTTGGTTTTCACATTAATGATTGCCATTATAACCTTGATTGTCATATCATCTGAAATGTGATAAAAAACGTAGAAAACTTTCTATTACTACAGATAGATGTAACTATAGTAACTAAGTATGAAAGGTCTTTTGCTATTTTTACGCAGGGAAGGGAGTTCTTCTGTAGCATTATACTGCATGTTAATTTTTAATTGGTTTATTTCTTTTTCAATTATACTTCCTAGTCTTGTGTTCACTTTTCATAACAATGAACATGACCCCAAACAGCTTACTCATTTTCTGGGTTTAATACAATGTAATGAATGAAATGAGGATATCCCATGTTTGAAGGAATGATAATATGAAAACAGAATAATTAATGCAATTGCAAAATTAATATATAGGTAGGATGTATTCATACATCCTACGAATACATTACCGATATTATGAATATTGTAAAAGAAAGTGGTACAATCATTGGAACTCCTTCCAACAATGGAGAAATTTATTTCCCCCCCCCTTTTTTTTTTGGTACTTACCTATTTCAGAAATCAAACATGTTTTAAAGCAGATACCAGTTAAGTAAAATAAGCATTGAAAGACAACTATAAAATAAGTAAAACTTTGAGCTCAATGCCCCTATTGTTTTTGCATGACTGAGATACAATGTAATTTATTACAATGAGCAGATTTTTTTATTTTATATTTTTACACATTACAATTGGGCATAGGTTTTCCTACTACCTGTTAGTGTACATCATGAGTGTTACATTTTGGAGATAACAACGGGCTCTGTAAAAGAGAACTGACATCATATTGGCAAAACTTTTTAATGTGCCTTGAATATCTGTGCGACTGCGTCTTCTGATTAGACTTTATGCACTATCCACCAACACATAAAACTTTACACCAATCCTATCATGGTTTCATCGATTTCTGTATCAAAGTATTTTCCTCCTTGATTCCATTGTTCTTTATACTTTTTACCCATGGATAAAGTATTACCAGCATTTTTGAGCAGTTCCTTTTTTGTGCGAAATTCTGTCTAATATTTCAAACTGATGTTGCTTTCGCAGATTCCAATTAAATCTATGTTCTGAATGCAAAAGTCTTCTAAAATTCATTTTTGTCTTAGAAATCAAACACATACTCTGAAAAGATTTTAAGTTTGTTTGTTTGTAATATTATCATTTTATAACTATTGAAAATTTTGCTCTGTGTTGATTTTTTGAGGTAGGGCTGGATGCCTTGGGCATTTTTGGATTCCCTTTTACTACATTTTGAAAATATATTCCCTAACTCAGTAAATGTTGGAGATGTTTTACACCTCTCCCTAGAGACATGTACTGCATTAATATGAACAGTTGTTATTCAGGGCAAAGGATAAGGGCAAAGGATATAATTAGTTAGGAAGAATAACTTTATTTTGTTTTATAGCTCTTTTAAAATATTGACTTGTGTACACGTTTAATTTTATTCAGTTACTACAATTTCTT